ATAATATATGAATATAAATAATATATATACATCAATTAAACCCCTATATATATATATGAATTATATATTTAAATTATATATATATAAAATATATATATAAATTATATATTTATAATATATATATATATCATACATATATAAAATTACTCATACATAAATTATAAATATAAAGAGATATATTATATATATGTTAATAAAATATAAATATGAATTATATATATAATAATATATATATATAATTATATATATATAAAAACTAGATGTAATTATATATATAAATTATATATAATTATATGTATCTATAAATTATATATAATTATATATATCATATATCTCATTATATATAATTTATATATATAAATACATATAATTATATATATATAAATTATATACATATAAATTATAAATAATTATATGTATAAATTATATATAATTATATGTATATAAATTATATATAATTATATGTATATATAAATTATATATAATAAAATATATATATATATTATATATATATACATTATATGTACAAGTATATAATTGATATATGCAGAATGAATTCCAATAACCAACAATTACTATTTTTTCAAAGAGTGCTCAATACAAAGTAGAGCAGATATAATTATTTTTATAAAAAAATTATAACATAAATATGTTATAAAATTAAATATATATATATATATATATATATATATATATATGTAAATAAATATTATGGTTTAAATACAACAATTAAGACTATAAGCAGAAAATATATTATATATATATGTGTATGTGTTTATATATATATGTATGTATGTATAGCTGCCTACATTTATTCGAGGATAACTGTCTACTAGGGTGGCTAGCCATTCTCCATTGCAGACTCTTGCTTTGGCATATTTGTTTTTGTTCAACACCCACATTGCCAACCTGTGGTTTATACTGCAGACCTTAGTTACAGTTTCTGTGAAAAGAATGTGTTGTCTAGTATGATCAACAATCTTAAACCCTCAGTCATGAATGACTTGTGACTTTGTGCTTGCAAAGCTATCGATGGCCCCATAGGTACCATCTATCCAATTTCACTTACAAGTCTTGGGTCAACCTCTGGTATGGTTTACAAGCATTTTCCAAGGGTGCCGCATGCTGGCATCACCCACTCCAATATGATAACATCAGAAAAGCAGGTACTCATCAACTCATTTCTTAACCTCTTAAACAAAAGTAGGGAGTTGATGGGCACAAGCCTATATAGATCTAAATTTCTACTCAAATGTATTGACCCAGATTAATATCCTCTAGCCGGACCAGGTACCCACATATACTATTATTGATATTAATATTTTTATATTCTTTTTACTTTTCTGTTTGGTTATCTTTACTGTAAAAATATTGTTAATATTAGATCATAATGCATTTAACATGTTTGCTAACCCATTTTTTTTATTATATTATCACTACCATTTTTAGTATATAAGTATTATTTTTCTTTTTGCTTTGTTTTTGTCTCTTTCTTTTACTTTTAGTCTTACTATTAGTTTAGATTTAAAATTTGCCATTAGTCTAAAAAAAGATGACATAATCACTATCTTAACCAAGAAGCACAATTTTAATGACACTGACTATGAAAAAGGTTTCATACATGGCATATTAGCAGCCTCCATCACAAATACAATTGAGACTACAGGAGATACATATAAATACTAAAAACTTATCTATGAACAAAAACATTATTATAACCACATCTGACAAAGGAGTAGGTATAGTTATTATGAGTACCAATGTCTACATTGAAAAATTAGAATCCCTCCTAAATAATGACAACACCTGCACTAAAACCAATGAACTTAGCATAAACACTGAAAAACAAGTTCAACAAAACTATCAAGAAACTATTAAAAAAATGCAAACAAATCTTGATTTAATAATTACCATTCCACTATACTCACTCTATATGGCTTACCCAAGACAGACAAAGCGGACATACCCATTACGCCCATTGTATCCAGAATTAACAGTGCACCCCACAATTTAGCTTGAGCCATCACTAAAATCCTAACTCCATCCCTAGGCACCATCAATACAACAAACATCAAACATTTAGGTGACTTACTCTGAAGAATACAACACATAGATATGACTAACATGTATATGACTAATTTCGACATCAAATACACTAATATGCCCATCATGAAATGCTTTAATATACTAAGAAATCACCTCAATAAATCCAAGGATAAGCTTCCAAACGTTCTCAAGCAGCTCACTATCCTCCTCCAGTGGGCATGGAAACAAGGTAATGAACCACATTATGTGCCTGGTGGATGGCATTTGGATACCCAAGGAAAAGAATACAAAAGTCATTGCAAATTTCCACCACATCTCCCTCTTGCCCGTTGTATGATGGGCTTCCTGCTAAGTAACCATTATATAAACACAGCTGTCCAGCTGAAATGACTGGCTTCCTCAGCCTTCTGGAGCATTCACACATGATTTGGAATTCAATCCTATCAGCCAAACAAAATAAAACTGAGCTTTATGCAATCTGACTTGATCTTGCGAATACATATGGATCAGTTCCTCATAAGTTAATTTGAATATCCCTCAAATTTTTCAATTTCCCTAGTAAAGTCAGGGAAATTATAATGAATTATTTCAGAGCAGCATTTATGCAGTTCACTGTTGGTCAAAACACCACCAAGTGGCAAGCCCTCGAGGTCAGGGTGGTGGGGTGGGGGGTTTCATGTGATTTCATCACTTCTTTTAATTATGTCCATGGAACTCTTATTACAGGGTGCAGCAGACACAGCTAAGGGAGTGATGACTCAGGAACAAATGGTCTTTCCTATTGTAGAGTGTTCATCACCATACTGGTCCCATGTAAGGTTAGTGCCAATGAACGGCTGCAGCACTACCATAAGCTATTCATATGGGTGAGAATGAAGGCTAAGCCCAAGAGATGCCAGAGCTTATCATTACTCAGAAGCTCTGTCAGGAAGATTTACTTCAGCATTGGGGTTGACATTCAATGAGAAGCCAGTGAAGAGCCTCGGTTGGCTCTATGGAATTCCACTAACTGATCAGCACTGCAATAAAGAGTTGCAGAAAGTGGCACTAGATGAACTTGAATCCATCAATAGAAACCATCTCTCCAGCAAACTGAAGGTTCGGTGCTATCAACATGGTTTACTGCCCCAGATTCTGTGGCCATTGCAGGTGTATGATATTACTCTGTCTTACATTCAGCAGGCACAACAGTATATCAACAAGTACCTGCAAAAGTGGCTTGAAGTTCCCTCCTGTTCTCCCCCAGTAAGACTCTATACAAATGCTGGAAACCTCAAACTTCTCATCTCTACATTGGTCAATGAGTTCAAGGTCGGGAAGGTACACCTTTGCATAATGGTGAGGGACTCGGACGATGAGTTCATCTGCAGGTTATGGCCAGATGTCAAAACTGGTACCAAATGGTTAGCAGTAGAAGCCATCCAAGAAGAAGAATCCATACCTCATCATTTCCAATCCACAGCTCAACAGTCATCGAGTTGAATCTGGTTAAGATCCAAAATAAGTAAAGTTAAAACCATGCTCGCAACACAATCCTACTTCTGATGTGAAACACACCTGTTTACCTTCTATCCTACATCATTAATAACAGTCACTTTGAGTATGTTGTGTATTGGTTAACAATCAAAATTAAAAGCTTTTAACACATCTTTGAAAATCTCATTTGCAGTTGTATAAAGAAATCACAAAAACAATACTCTGTCCAGTGGCAAAACTTGCTGGTGACACCAGGGGTGGCTGTACTGCCTTAGCCATTGAAACTGTGTTATCTCCCCTGGTTGACAGCTGACAAGGGAAGAGCATCACATGTGATTTCACACATTGTATGTAGAAAATATAATGTGTGCATGATGTAATTTCATCAGTATCTGTGATACATTCTCTACTACTATTGCTTCTACAATTACACTTTGTTTATACATCTCACTTAGATATTTTTATAATGTAATAGTGCAAACACTTTTATGAAAATATTTTAAAAACCAGAAGTAATTTGCCAGAAAAAAACTTTATACTCAATAAGTTAATTTGAGTATGCAAAAATTGAATTTTTTTACAATTTTTAACAGGGTTTTACAAATATATATATATAATTCACAATGTTAGGAACAAATATATAATTATTCTTAGTATAAATTTTAGCTATATATATATAACTTTGAATATTTGATTGATCTGACATTTTCAAAATTATTTTTTATTTGTAAAAATGTATTTATTTATTTGTCAAGCGATACATGTCCTCATCAAATCTTTTCAATTAAAAATTCTTTCTCTTGCACATAATATTTATAAAGTTGATATTGATCAAGGGAATGCTTGTTTTTAGTTCAGTCAGTTTTCTTGTTGGAAGACAGAATGGAACAATGTTGAAATAAAACAAATGCACTGTACTGCATTTACCTGGATCAACTGGTCCATCTAATAATGACTTGATAAGAATTTGTACTTAGATCAGCTTGACTTGTAGTCCCCTCAAGTTGGCACTAATCAGTCATGTATTGGTAGAAACACTGCTGAAGTTAATTACAAAAACAGATGTTTAGTAAAATAGAAAGGAAGCAATCTGCGCCTTATTGTCTGTTAGAATGCCACCCAGTGGAGATTCATGTTTGGTTTTCATAGAAAACTGAAATGATGACTACCAATATTAGCATTCTTCTCTTTATAGTTAATTATATCATAGAAGAAGACAGGTATTGTAAAACTGATTGGTTACAAAAATATTTTTATTTTAACTCAGCTCTGGTTATCTGGATTTATAATACCTTAGGATCCACTTATTAAAGTTATAAAACACATTTGGGATTGCCACTTATTCTCTATTCTATGTAGTGGTGTGTTTGATACACATTCATATTTGATAATTTGAAGTAAGAATATGATAACGATGAAGAAATTCCCTCCCACTATTTATATTATTTATTGTATATAATGTAATAATTTTTTTGTAGACATACGAGTCAATATTTTGGAAGGTAAAAGCTAAAAAATGGGACAGAACATCCAAGTTTTACAAGGTGCGTATAATCCTATGTTCATTATGAATTTGATATTATTGATAATCTTCATGAATAATAAGAAATAAAATAGACTAAACAGCAGTTTTTCTACTGGAACAAAATCTTACTAAAAGATAGATTTGTTGAATATTCTTTCTGTAAATATATCTTATAATTACAAAAGTGCCTTTTTTTACTCAATGTACATAAAATGCGTATACAATATTACACTTGGCTTACAATCTATATATCATTCAGAGAAAATAGACACACATTTGTTAGTTCAAATTTTACGTTTTTAATATTCATACTCATAAGCACAAAATATTTTAATTTGACATTAATAAAGTAAGCACTTTAATCAGGAAATTAATATAGTTATACTTATTCAAACTTCTGAAATATTTAGAATTTTGATAATTAATAAAAGAAATATTTTTTTTTATATTAGGAGCTCCTAAAGTGGAAGTTGGTGACACTGTTGTTATCAACTTGGAAAAAGACATTGTGCAAATGATGCAAGTTGGACATGGAGGTTGGTGTTCTGATATGCAAAATGTAAGTATTTTGTTTTCTACTTTTTCATTTTTTCAAGGAAAACAAACTGGTTTATATTTGAATACTTCAATAGTAGTGTGGAGCTTTCAGATAAAATGAACAGTTGATTTACTTATGCCAAGAAAATTATTAGCAGACAATAATGACAAAGAAGCACACAGGTAATTTTAAAAAAACATGATAAGGAATTTATTTAAAATTTACACAATTGAAGTTGTCAGCAGCTCATTTCAGGAAAATAAATCAGAATTCTTAAAGTTCATAGTTTTAACATATTGTCATGAAGAGAAAATGTTCTTACAACAGATTAAATGATCTGACACAAAATAATATTCAAAAATGTTTAAGACAAAGATAAGAGAGTTCATTGTTTGGTGAAGGAATATATGGTTTGCATAAATTCAAAAGTAGATGAAGAGAGATAATTGTAAATACTGAGCTTCAAAATTATATCTTCAAAAGTCGCATGATATGCAAATATATACATTATTAGAAATATTAATCAGAATTTACTTAAAATTCATTAGAAAAAAAGTTACTGCTAGCACATCATATTTATCCTTTTTTATTGAGAGTATTAATGTAAATTTGCAGATCACAAATTCCTCTTCTACAGTTACTTTTCTGTATAAATTAATTGATTGTTTTTTGTGGTTTATCAACATTTTACAAGTTATTTAAAGTTTGAAAATATTTTTAGATTGTAAGAATTTTTTGTAAGTAATAATGATTTACTGATACAAGTCCTACTGTTTAACCATAGCTGGGTGAGAAGTGTATTCATACTTTTCTCAACAGTATTTGTATATAACAGAATATAATGAACCCAGCTAGAAATGGTACTTGCTCTCCGATCCATTCCACCACCCGTGTATGCAAGCAGTCACCCATTTAGGTAGTGAGTAGGCTTGATATTGCTTAACTTCAGTGATCATATGGGAATATGGCTATAAGACATTTTGGTACAGAATTTGATTTGTATAGATCATATGATGTGAATCAGGATTTTAGTTTTATACTTTGATAATGAGAAATTGTCCAAATTCTCCTAATGAACATTTTCTCATATATATATATATATATATATATATATATATATATATATATATATATATATATATATACATATATAATTATGAAAGCGGAGACTTTACAAATCAATGGTAATATTTTATTTCAGAAAACTAATTTCTCAGTTTTGTCTCATCAGACCAAATAGTCTCAACAATAAATAGATTAAAAAAATTAATCCAGGCACAGGCAAAAACGAAATATTTAAAACATAAAATGTCAGAAGGGAACACAAGAGAAAAGAAACAAGAGAGAAAGAAAAAGAGGGAGAAATGGAACAAGAGAGAAAGGGGAAGAAGAGAAAAAGAGAGAGAGAGAGATGTCTGTCTATATATATATATATATATATATATATATATATATATATATAGTAAAAAGGTAACAAATCTGTTTGTATATAATCTAAGTGGATCCTAGTAATATAAAATATTAAAACTAATCCACATAACAAGACAGATGACTGATATCTGTCTGTTGAAATAGGCTATTCCCCATACTAAGTGATTTTGGATTGTATTATTATATATATATATATATATATATATATATATAGTTCAAGAATTATAGTTGAATTACATGAATGTTTTGTCATTTTAGCTGCTGAAAAGATTTTGTATATAATACCTGAACCTTATTATTTATTCATTATTTTCATGTTTTTTTTTTTTTAGTATCTAGGTAAAAAAGGAAAGGTTCAAAAAATTGATTCTGACGGAGATGTAAAAATTAAATTTAAGACTGGCAGTTATATCTACAACCCAAATGTTGTTGCAAAGGTAAAAGTTATGAAATTTATTATTTTATATTTGCTAATGTATACATATTTTTTTTTTAAGCATTTCCCCCCAAGCAAGGCAGGAGTACCACTAGCACTCATGGGGGTTGCAGAGGGTAGAAAACAAGAGTAAAGAGGTGTGTTTGGGGAGAGGATAAAGAGAAGGACAAGGAATAAGATCAAGGTATCAGATGTCGATTGACATTACACTTGAATATTTGAAGATTATAGTTATCAGGGAAGCAAGTAAGAGGAAGAGAATTCCTCAGAGGGGAAGTGCAAGAGAAGAAGCTGTTTAAGTAGAAGAAACAATTACATTTAACCATTTCAACAGTGAAAGGGTAGGACCAAGATGCCAACCTAGTAGCTCACTTAAATTTATGCAGTCTAGGAACAAGAGAAAGCAACTCATCAGAACAGTTACCATGAAATTATTTATAGAAAAGACAGAGAAAGTGACTGTAGACTAGATGCCATATCAGGATCTATCACATTGCATATCTGTCTTTGGATTTTGTTGAGGACCTTGAGACTTACAGCGAGGACACCAGATCATATATGATAGCAATATTCCATGCAAGGATGGATGGTTGATTTACAGATTTGAAGGATGAATTCAGACGAGAAAAAATTTCTGGCATGACACAGTGAACCAACTTTCCTTGCGATAGATGAAGCTATTGAGTCTATGTATTAGATCCACCTCATATCAGTGGACAGTGTAAGACCAAGCAGGCGCAATGAGGTGCTTTCATGTAATTGGTCATCAGCCATTCTGATGGGAGGAAGGGAGGGCTCTCTGTGGTAGATAAATGAGAGCAGTTTCTTTTTGGAGGCATTGAAGTTTACAAGACATTTCCTGCCCCAGTCAACCACAGATTGGAGGTCCTTTTTGAGACCATGGCTAGGTTAGTTTTGTCAATGATACCAGATTTACTATTGAGGCATGAGTAGTGTGATGAAAATTCAAATATATTTTGAAAAGAAAATCCAAGATATTAATATAACTGTGTTCATACATGCTTAGTTTTGGTGTAGTATAGACCTCATGTAGAGATGAACCACAGTTGTCAACAATGCCCTGTGCAGGCTGGTGATGGTTTCATAATGGCACATGGTGTGTTCACATGGCATGGATTGCGTCATGAATAAGTGACAGTGATATTGCACAGCTTCATGAACATTTGTAATCATTTATGGAATCCATGTACCTCCACAATCATAAATTATTCCAGCAAGATAATGGTAATAGTAATATTAACTGTTTCCTAAGATGGAAACTTTTGGCAGCCAATGCTATTGCTGGTTGAAATTTATAAAATCTATCTATTAACTCTTAGTATTCAACATGCTCAAAACCACCCCATAATTATCAGCTCTTAAATTCTCTCTGTTTGTGATTATAGCTTCACTGCTTATGGCATTTCCTACATTATTTGCGATGATATCATCATATATAATGGCAGAGTATACGTAAAAATTTACAGTGGGTTGAACATTGAGAACCAATATTTACAGGGCAGTTTGAGGCGTTTTGAATGCTAAAACAATTTTTCAAGAAACTATATCTCTCAAGTTCATTGTTAATGCTCTTTTCAGTATTGATGGGAGCTTCCATCCTAACCTTTTGTTCAAAGTAGTGTGGAATATCAACATGTCATTATTTTCTTATTTTAGTACGTCATTATTTTCTCTATGAGTTTTCATTATAAACTTGGTATTTTTGCATATTGATGCTTGAAATTCTTAGAATCTGGTCAACTTAAACATATTCTATGAGCAATGTCCCTGCAGGATGTTGACAATCATGGCTCACCACAATTTCCTGTCCTTTGTAGCTTTTAATAAGTTTTATCTTTTTGTTATATCTTCTAAACCTTGTTCTGACATCCATTTACTCTTGCTGAGTAGGTTATGTATTGTTTTCCTCTATCCCTCTTGTCTTCAATCATTCCTGTGAGTATCAAATTTTCCAAGCCCTCTTTCCTCATTATATATCCCCATTTTCTCTAAAACTTTGCCATTGTTCACATGTTCAGTCCATGGTATTCTTGGCATCCTCCAGTAGAAACATATTTCTGTTGCTGCATGTGAGGAGATTTTTCAGCACTCACAGCTATAAGGAAGGACTGATATTACATAGCAGTTCATATATCTTACCTAAACACTTTCCTTCAGATACATAGATCATGTTTTATTAATATATCCCAAAAGAAAAAACATGCAAAACATTATAAAAATCTTAATTTTTGTTTGAATTTCTGGGAGGAGAAATTATCATTATTTACAATCAGACTGTTGTCATGATCTGTACTGTTATCACAATGTTTCAGCTGTTGTGAGCTCTGGCCTTAATCAGATGCTTGTTGATCTGGGTAACCTTCAGGGTTCAGTTCAAAATTTTGGAGCATCATAATATTTTAAAGAAAAGGTTTAACACACATATTTGACAATGACTTTGTTCATTACTGCAGTTTAGAGTTAGAAGTGAATGTAAAGAATGAGGATTAGTTTTCAAAAGCAAAACTAGGGATATATGTAAAGAGAAAGAGCTTCTAGAAATTGTCTCTTCCTTTCTTTTTAATAGAATTTACAAATTGAAAACGTTGGAAAATTCCCAATGATGTCTTAATTTTTCTTAATATCAATTTTAAAATTTTATTTTTTCAGGTACTATCAAAAGGAGATATTGTACAAATATCAAGTGATATTGAAAAGGCAAAATTTTTACAGAATAAACATGGAGGATGGAATTCAAGAATGAAGTGGGTAGGTATTTTATTTAGTAGGTTTTTGAAGTAAAGCTTATTCAGTTTTGATAGTCTTTAAAAATTACCAAGATCAATTAAAATATACAAAACTATTATTAAATGCAAGCTAAATATTAAACAGGGAAACAGATTTAATTCCAACTGTGTTTAGTCAAAGTGTAAGTCATTTACATGCTAATCTATCTCTTCTCCCCACAGCTATGAGTAAAAAGCATGAAAGACTGGGTCCTACAGGCTTGGGTGGCAACCAGTCTAGGAGAAGGCAAACACTAAATTCAAAACCTGAGGGTCTAGTGCATGGACTGAGGGTAACCCACATTATATTCTGTGATCTTCAGCTGT